TGTGGATACAATGTATAAGGGTAGAGAATGTGATATATAGGAGATTGGATTCTGTACATGGGATGGAATATATAATATTTGCTGCAGAGCCTAGAACTTGCCGATCAGAAAGTTGGCGGTTCGAATCCCCACAACGGGGTGAGCTCCCGTTGCTCGGTCCCTGCTCCTGCCCACCTAGCAGTTCAAAAGCACGTCAAAGTGCAAGTAGATAAATAGGTACCGCTCTGGCAGGAAGGTAAACGGTGTTTCCGTGCGCTGCTCTGGTTCACCAGAAGCGGCTTAGTCATGCTGGCCACATGACCTGGAAGCTGTACGCCGGCTCCCTCGGCCAATAAAGCGAGATGAGCGCTGCAACCCCAGAGTTGGTCATGACTGGAGCTAATGGTCAGGGGTCCCTTTACCTTTACTAAAATTGACATGGCATCATGTTTAAGAGGTCCCTAAATTTTGTATGTTGCAATCTTTGGAGCATTTCTGTATGAAGCACCCACTGTCAAGCAAGATGTTTTTCTGGCCCACCTTCGTAACATTCAGCCTTTCAGTCAGTTAAATAACTTACCCAGGGGTAGCAACCTCCTGGGTCAGGACATTGCCAGCACCTCACACATCAGCACTGGTAAACACATGCTTGAGGTGGTAGACAATTTTGTCTGCCTGGGTTCCGCAGTAACCAGCAGCCTCTCCATCAAAGCCAACCTGGACAAGCGTATTGGCAAGGCAGCTACAGCAGTGGCTCGCCTCTCCAAAGGGGTATGGGAGAATGTGACGCTAACATCCAATACCAAGATGGAGGTCTACCAGGCTTGTGTGTTGGCTTCAGGCACCAGGTCTGTTGACAGACCAACTCTGCATTAGAAAGAGGTCTGCAAATGTGGCATGAAGGCTGGCAACATAAACCCCGCCGTTTGGGAATCCCTTGCTGCAGTGCCCGGAGACAGGCAGTCAGATTGCGTATCCATAGCAGGGACCAGAGGAGAAATGACCGCTGGGAGGAGCACAGAGAGAAGAAACGTCGTGGTGCATCTGCAGCAGCACAACCAGACGCCTACATCTGCCCCAGCTGCAACAAAACATGCCTCTCCTCTATTGGTTTCTACAGCCATAGCAGGCGTTGCAACCTTCCAACAGTTTGACTTCACGCTCAAAGGCGCACTCCTCCATTGTCCCCTGAGACAGACAGATGCCAACAACAATAACCATGGTTGGATTCCAGCTCCCATCAGTCCCAGCCAGCATGAACAGTGGCAAGGGACGATTGGAGTAACAGACCAGCAACATTTGGAGGGCACCACGTCATTGACCACTCCTGAGTACTAAAACAAAAAGAGCCATAAAGCTCTGGTTGGAATGAAAACAAAATTAAACATCTCTCTTGAGGCCTTGCAGTCACATCAGGCCACTCCAGCCCTAGATGATGCTGTTTCTCTTCCTTTTCCTTTCATTCAGTTTTTCATGATGACAGGCAGAATGGACTGTGAGATTTAATGATTGGCTTACTCTTACCGCTTACATTCTGCATAATTTGTCTTGTGGCAGACAGATCTGTAGCCTTAAAAAAGGCAAGACTTTAGAAAGGCAAACAGTTAACCCTTAAATAGCACCTTCAATCCTTCTGGCACTATCAGGTAAAGAGATATGGATTTGTGCTGGGTAGTAAATTCACTCTTTGAATAGCTTCAATTCGTTACTAGGTATTTATTTCAGGAGTTTCAACCTTAATTTGATTGAGATGCAGGCAAAAGCTAGAAATGGAGATCCCACTTTGAAAATTTGTCCTTGGAAGTCTAAAGAAATTCTCTGTGCAATCTATATCTCATCAGATAGTGGGAGGCTAAGTGTTTCCACTGTTCCTGCCAGAAACCTGCGTTTGTCTTTCCTGGACAAAAGTTATTGCCACCCTGTAATCTCGCTCTGAAATACAGCACGTGGAGCCTACACTGAACCCAATTTACTCTGGCAGATGAATATAGCCAAGGTGGTGGTCTGAATGTTTGGCCTCAAGGCACAATCCAATTTTCAACTGTTTCAAAGCTATTATGTCAAAGGCTATTTGCATAAACATAACAATAGCTGTGGATCCAGGCTATGCGATTCAGGCACGGGAAAGCCTGCCCTCTGGTGCCTAATCTATTTATCACAAGAAAGAAAGAAAGAAAGAAAGAAAGAAAGAGAGCAACGGAACTGTTTGGAACTGTAAACACTTCAACAGATAATGCACTTTCCCATAATCTGGTTAATTCCCCCTAGTACTGTACCACCAACATTAATTAAAGAATTTTGCTGTGCCCTCACCTGAATCCTCTTTTTGCAATCCCAGGATGAAGGCAGATATGCATTCTAAATGCAGTGGCAGTTTTACTACATAAGACTACTCAGGATGGGTACAATCCTAAGAAATTTTACATGGAAGTAAAAAATAATAATTAGGGCTTTACTTCCTGAGAAATGTGATTAGGATTTGGCTGGTAAAACAGACCTATTCAGGTGTTAAGTGCAGCTAGCGTGTGATCTTCTGAAGCAGGGAGCCTTCTGTGCTCATTGAGACTCCCCGTGCGATTTAGAATATTGCACAATCCCTGTTCTAATCTGCCCAGGGAATTTCCGCAATTACAGGAGTTCACCCTGTAAGAGCCTGCTGGATCAGGCCAAAGGCCCGTGTAGTTCAACATCCTCTTCAGAGCAGCCAGCCAGATGCCTATGGGAAGCCTCCAACTCATGAAGGGCTGAAATAAGAAGATTGGGACATGTTGCTGCAGGAGGGAGGGGGTGACAGGATGCCCCCACTCTTGTAGATACTGAATACCGGGAAAGGGCTTCTATGAGTCACGTATTATCTTTATATACCGTACCTCCTCACACAGATGCATTTAAACAAATACAGATAGTGTTTGCAATTGCATATATATTTACAGATGTGGGGTCCATTACATGCAAACATCTTTCTTGCATGGAGGCTGATAAAAACGTAAGTATGCAGTGCCAATTTAAGGAATCTGAATCGCTTTCTAAGTTTTCTCATGCTAGAGAAACAGATGTGATTATTCGGCTTATTACGAAAAGGTCTGTCATTCATTTGATGAGCTGACTTACAGTGTGGGAATCTATAATAAAGCCATTTCCCTTCACAGAGCTGGAGATGTCTCAAGTCACTTCATCCCCAACCATATCCTTACTGACACCCTGCATTCATAATTTCCACATGCATTTATCCTATTTCGGTGCTGGGTACAAATATTCCATTTCAGAGTATGGCTTCAGAAAAAGTGATGAGTATTTTTGTTTTATTTTTTAAAATGCCAGATTGAAAGACCTCCGTTCTGGAAGAGCTCAAAATGTGGATGGAAACCTTCCCAGTTCTGGTAATACTGGTTCCATCACAAATGGAACCCTGGAGGAAAAAGTGAGTTCTGTGCAGTTGCAAAGCCAAACACACTTCCATTTGTCAAAAGTGTGATGTAACCAAAATTGCATTTGCTATGCTTAAAGTCCTGTGCGCTGTTAAATATGCATCTGATTCATGAGACATAACTTGCCTAATTGTGAGCAAGATTAAAGCCAGAGGCAGGCAGGGGGGTGAGGGATGGAAGGAACAATCAGTCAATCAATCAATCAATCAATCAATCAATCCCAGACAGATTCATCACATCAAGTCATGTGACTCCTTAAAAGAGAAGAGACTCGTCTTTTCTTAGTACCCTTTTTTTCATTTGTTGTGCTCTCCAAGCCTTTGGGGTGAAAAATCATAATTTTTATCTTCTTCTTCTTCTTCTTCTTCTTCTTCTTCTTCTTCTTCTCTTCTGTCTTCTGTCTTCTTCTTTTTAATCAATTCTGTACAGCATGATTCTCCATGCATTCATACTAGCAGTTTGCCCTGCCATATAAAAAAGAGGGTGTATTTTTTCACACTTCCCTGACTTACGTTTCCTGTTCTTAAACTTGCATCAGATGTGTTATTGTGTTTTATTGTTTTTATAGGTTTTTAACAGTTCTAAGTATATTCGTTTCTAACAGCAATTTTATTCACATAAATGCTTGGGCACCTTTAGGACGGAGGAATATAAATTTAACGATTAAATAAAATGAAATAAATTACACTGCATTCCTAAACCTACTTGCTACGGTATGTCTTTCTGTAGTTTTATATTGTAAACCTCAGATATTGTGCTCCACGGATGAAGGGTGATATATAAATGTAATAAATAATAATAGGAATAAGAAGAAGATTCATTTATTCCAAGAATACCTGCTGAGGTCTGAACAGTTACTGAATCCGAAAAGAGATAATATTAAGGAAGCTTCTGAAATAACTGAAGAGCATAATACCCAATGGATACCCAATGGAAGCTGCAAAAGGGGACCCAAGTTTTCTTCCTGAATTTTTCCTCTCTACCCCTTGAGTCGAATTCTGAAAGCAAATAGGCAGTGGGGGAATGGTCCTTCAAGCCTTTGTCACAATTCCCTCCAGTTAGCAAAACAGAGATGTGTAAATTCATTTCCCTCTCCAATCACCAATGAAGCGCTGTGTAACAACTTATAATGCATTTAACTGAAGGTGACCAATTTAAAAGTCATTCGACGTAGCTTTAGGCAGTCATCCTAAGCACATTTCCTTGGAATTTTCTATTGAAATCAATGGGACTTGTCTTCCTTGTCTACTTCAGCTCAAGGTGTCACTGGAAGTCCCTTCCAAAAAGGCAGCTTTCTTTCCCACTGACATAGCATATTCCTAGGACAAGCCAGTGGTACACAGAGGAGAATATCAATCCCATTTGTTACTGAGGGCTAGAGGTACATGCATCTATATACCTTGTCTTTTCTTCCTAAATTGCAAGCATGTGGAGGAGGACAAATCCTGATGGGGAGCGCAGGAAGTGAAGAGGCTCTCCTTACCCAGAATGATTGGAACAACGCCCCTTCCCTGTACAGCTAGGGAGCCTTAGGAGAAAACTCTCCTAGCCATGTTTAGGGTGTGCGTTTTTCCAACCATGCTTTGGGGAGCAGCTGTAGCTCAGCAGTAGAGCATCTGTTTTGAAGTCAGAAGGTCTCAAGTTCAATCCCCAACATCTCCAGGTAGGGCTGGGGGAGACTGTTCCCTGCAACCTTGGACAGCAGCTGTTGCCAGTAGTTAATACAAAGCTGGATGGAGCAATGTTTGATTGGGATAAGACAGCTTCCTATGTACTGCGGAAGGAAGAGATAACCCTCTCCTGCCCACCCACTGTGTTCGTTCTGAGGAGTATCATTGCTTAGGTAGAAAAAAACAAGACCCACAGCTGTACGCTACACTATCTAGTCTAGTTTGGCTGATGTTATAAGGTTGTGCCCGCCCAAGAAATCAGGAAACTTTGAATTCTTCGGACAGAGCAGATAAAAGACTTCCTGCCTGTTCCTTCAAGATACTGCATCAGTACAGCTGTTCATCGGATCAGGACCATGTTTGTTTTTAACTTTGAAAAATTCTGTATTTTTCATGCCTGTTTATGTACTTTAATTGTATAGTCCTTGGATTTTATAGGCTCGGGTTATACCGTTTGATAGAGATCAGGATGTTTGAATGCCTTTCTGTTGCAATGATCCGGCCATAACGATCCAAGGAGAGATAAATAAAATAAATAAACTCCAAAATTACTCTCACATTCCTACTATTGCAGCCAACAATGTTTTATATCTCAGTTCAGCAAAGATTTTGAGAATATGTTTAACTTCTTGGATGCATGTTTTATGTCCTGGGAATAAAGGTTTGAGCAGATTACTGAATGGCTTAAATTTCCTGAGGAAGAGTTTTGTGGAATTCCAAAGATTCCGATCACCGCAGAGAAGAGTAGAAATTGGCCTAAATAAATAGCTATGATCTTGGAATCACATTGCACAACCCACTAATGGCTTTGGCAGGGATTGTGGGTAGGGCAACAGGCTGCCAGAAGTGAGTTTCGGGGACCAGTGACGAAAAGGCCAATTATATTACTACTGCAATTCTTGATAGACAAATAGATCCCTCTAATCCAGCCACAAGTGCAAGATTTATCACTAGGAGGTACAATACAAGCCTATGCATATTTACTCAGAATTAAATGCCATTGTTTGTAAATGGCCTTACTCCAGGGCACATAGGACTGCAGCCTAAAAGTGAGCCACAGGCTGGGTTCATCACAGTAAACCACAGTTTAGCATGAGTACATAAGCCAAAGAGGGTCTAGGAATCAGACATTTCCTCCTTCATGTTTCCTTTCCCTGCATGACCAGAAAGAGGACTTTGGAAGCTTTGACTAACATTTTTAGTTAGCCAAACCTAGCCAAACCTCTTCCTAGCCACGCGGGGATGTGGGGAGCAGAAGCACACAATTTGGAGGCATGTTATAGGTCATGCACATTGGACTAAACTATGATTTGGTGTGAAATGTGATATGCAGCCACGGCCAAGGAGACTTAGCCTGCTTCACACATGTGCATATTTCACTTGGTTTTTTATTGCTGGATGCCTCGACACTTAGATACTCAAAGTAAACGTATGAACTATCTCTATTAAAATAATGTCTGAGTCAGGTAATATGAACATTGTACCTGTGGTACTTGTGAACATTGTACTTGTGGTAACTAATCTAATATATAGTTGTTGAGCTTTCGGGGGGGGCAAAGTTGATGATATTTTTTTTTCATTTTGCCCAAAGATATTGCATTTTTTTTTTTTTGCAGGATTGCAAAAGAAAAAAGGGGGGAGCCATTTTTGAGCTATTTTTGTGGGAAAGCGGCAAAAATGGCACTGCTGACATGGGCTGCCATACGTCCGGATATTTCCTGTACATTTTGCCGGACACTGCTAGAGAGGTATGGCAATTGTGGGAATTCCAGGGTCTTTGAACCAAATAAGACCAGCAAAGGTGTATAACTAAACACACCTTTGAGATAGCTGGACTTCTCAGAAAATCTCAGTGGATGCAGCAGTTTGATTGGTAAAATTAAACAAGGTATTACTTGGTGATACACAATGAGAGAAGAACATGGATGCATTGAATAGGTTAAGTGACCTAGATGCCAGCTTTGCCACTGACACCAATCGGTTATAATTTTTCAAGATTCCATCAAATGTAGTGCCACTATTTTATTTTTATGAATTGTTTTAAAAATCAAGACAGTTAAATACGTCTATGATTCCCCCCATACCTCTGTTTACTAATCTGTATACTGCTAATATCAGCTACTAAGAGTATCAATGTCCCATTGTGAAAGATCCCTACCGACTTAACGTCCAGAACTTACATGGTGTTTGTGAAGTCCTTTATGGTTCTGGGATGAAAGAATCTACAGGCACACAAAGTAGCATTGTTCATTATTGCTGTAATCAAGTCTGTCCACTGTAGCACTACTGTAAAATGCTAGCAGGCCTCCAGCTGGAGAGTGAAAAAGGGGGACGGACGACTAATTTCTCCCCTTTCACCCATCATTCTCAGATTAACAACTTTCCCTTGTTTGCTAGCACTCCCCTCACTTGCACGTGTGCTGTTGCTGAATTCTTTGCAGATGCTAAACATTAGTAAAGCCTGCCATTCGGCATCCTGTTTTTCCAACCCCTCTTCCAAACTCCTCCACGTTTCTCAGAGGCTTTATCAGAAAGGACATTCCTCTGAAACATTGCAGCAAGAGGAACTGACAGCTCTTCAAACCCCAGCTGAAATTCATTTATTTCCCACTGCTTCCTGCATTTACAAAGTTCATTAATGTTTCATCAGGAGGGACTGATTAAGAGTTTCAGCAGTCACGCAGAATGTGACCATTATAACGCTGCAAGTACTGTAAACACACCTGTGTACTAGCATGCACCATAAAAAGTGCTCACATACATGTCAGCTATGTCAGGCAGTAATCTGGTTTCCATCTAAACATCCAGGTCATCCTTTAGAATTTCCATTGTGGTGCACAGGGAAGATGCAATTCATTCAGAGCCTATAGCTGTAGGGTTGGTAATTTATTCGTGTGAGGGATGATAAGTAACAACAACTCTACAATGGGAATTTAGCATGAATGAGTTTCGTCTGTCCAAAGTGATCAAGAGATACTACCTGAAATGCATAGGTGTCGTGCTGGAAGGAATCTGAAGGAGCAGGTGGTTTTTTCAGTCCAGTAGTGGCCAACCTTCCAATGGCAGCAGCTCATAGATGGAACCAAAATTCACATGTCTGGATGCATGACATCTCTTATGCCTTCCTTTCCACTCCAGCACCAACTTCCCTTGGAAAAAAAGCATGTGCGGTAGCTTTTTACCAGCCTTAATTGCTGCTGAGAAGGAAAACCTTCACAAAGAGGGAATGGTTAGCTCCAGAGCCAGGCCAGGATGTTTTGCTGCTTGAGCCAAACAAAACAGAAAATGCTACCTGTCACTGAAGCCCCACTCCCCGCCCCGCCCACTGAACCTGCCTCTCCCTCCTGCTACCTTTGGTGGGGGAGAAAAAGGAGGCCAGAAAGGGGCAGGTAGCAGCGGAGCAGCAACAGGATACGGTGGCGGCGAGTGATGTGGCACGCTCCTTGGGGCCTGGATCTGCCACCCCTCCCAACTGCCCCCCAATCTGCTCCCTGGGTGGGCTGGCCCTGGTTAGCCCTTCCTTCTCCAGATGCAACCTCCACAAAGACTGACCCTCTGTGATGCAGCAATTGGACTCTTGAATGCAGCCTTAAACTGGCACTAATAGAAGGCTGTTTTCTAGTGTAATTGCTGTACAGGTGGGTGATTTTTGGAGGAAAGGTGTGTGTGTCGTGCTGCACAGGGTTAACTCCTCCCTCCCTTGCTGCAAAAAAGACTCCCATATCAAAATACCTGCTCACTTCCAGCATTTAGGCTCAAAAACAGCATAATGGTTTCAAGAATACAGGGGAATCGCCACTTTCGCAGAGGGTTCTGTTCCCAGCCGCCACATGCATCACTGGGACATGCGCAGGTGGGGAGTGCCCCATTCCACCCCCACCCCACCCACCTTCAGTGCCAAAAATGGCATTGTGTGTGGCTGCATGCATCTCAAACGTGCGCAAGTGGAGAAGTGCCTGTAATTGTTGTGGGACTGTGGAAGGGAGTCTCTGCGCTGGGTGTGGAGGCTCTACCCCTGCCTTTTCCCTTTCCTCTTCTATGAAGAAACCCTTTCTGGGAGCCCACATTTAAATTCTTTCTTGGTCTCCTTGCTGGCCCTAGTAGGACCAACTTGGCCAGTTAGCCCCGGTGATCATTTGCTGTCTGCTGACTGGGTTGTTTTGTTTTGTTTTTTCCCAAAAAAATGACCCCTGAATTTTTGAATTTTATTGATATTGATGCTGTTTTATGCTGTTTTTAAGTCGCATTTTAATCAATGTTTTATATTTGCTGTTAGCTGCCCTGAGCCCGGTTTTTAAACTGGGAAGGGCGGGGTATAAATAAAAAATTATTATTATTATTATTATTATTATTATTATTACACTCTGAATATATTAGTTCAGGCCTTTATCAATCTGGTGCCCTCCAGACATTTTGGAGCACAGCTCCAATCAGCTCTAGCTAGCATAGATTTGAAGAGTATGAGTTCTTATGAAAATAATCTGAAGTCTGTCATATTATAATACAGTGCAGACATCAAACTAGGAACCCTGCATTACCATGGGAGCTCAAATGATTTAAAACTGCAGTCCTGAGAGCAAGCACCATTGAACACATTGAAATTAATTTCAAATAAGCATGCATCAGAATGCCACTCAGTCAGAAGAACACCCCTGCTGAATGAAGCCAGTGGCCCATCTAGGCCAGCATCCTGTTGGCCAGTGGCAAACCAGATACTGATGGGAATCCTGGAAGCAGGACCCAAGCTCAGGAGCCCTCTCCCCTCCAGCAACTATTATTCATTTGCTGTGAATTGTGTTCTCCACCAATTTTAGAGTTGGCTGTCATCTTCCCCACTCGCCATGCTCTGGAACACTGCTAGGTGGAGGATGCAAAATGGTGGTCAGTCTAGCAACACAGATTATGCCCCTGCAACACAGATTATGCCCTATGAAGACTTCAAGGAAAAGGAAGAATGTGTGCTACTGTCACTGCTGATGGTGACCCTATCCA